CTGAAAAGAAAATAAAGTTGAAGATTAGTGCAAAAAAAAAAAAAAAGTTAAAAAAGAGATATTACCAATATTAACAAAATGGTTGTAATGAAATATTCCATTCTATCAAAATTCATTACAGATAAACTCACTCTGCAGTTTCGAAAGCAACATCCTTTGGGAAACGTTAAGGTTACAAATGACAATAAATGTATAATTAGCTTTACTAGACTATTAAGAATCAGCATCAGGCTAAGGAGAGTGGCCACAGAACAATGGCAGGCACTTGCCTTTAAGGAACATGCTTAATGCACATTCCTGGTCTTTCTATAGAAGAGACAGTGTCACCTAAGCCATGATAGCTGCACAGCTGAAGCCTCAATTTTCAGGCCAAGTTCCTGCTATAACCAGGCAAAGACAGTGATGTGAAAATCATGTTTTTGTCATTTCTCCCCATACAGAATCCTTATAGTTAAAACTACTTCAAAGCTTCTTTACACGTACACCTGGTCAATTTGCTGGCCCAGTCCTCCTCTTCACCTTGAAATACATAGCTTTGTTTCACAGTCCGAGTCTGAATGCAGTTACCATTAGTGAGATGGACATGTCAACTAGATACAGGTTTCACTGAATGTGTCTAACATTTTTTTCCATAATCAAAGAATTTGATACCATTTGATCACATATAACAACAAAAGCAATCTTAAAATTATAGTGGTGTCTTGCATACAAGGGTTAATGCAGTAAACAAGTTAAATTTTAATAATACTCTTGCTATCTCTCAAAAAAAAAATCTTTTTTTTTTTTTTAGCCTTACGTGAACAGTAAACCCAGAGTGGTCTCATTCTGTGTAACTAACTTATTTTTCAGATACAAATACAAACTTACTTTTTTTGAAAAGAGGACAGTTGTCCTATTTTATTATCATGTATTTGCTCCTCCACAAGCGGAATCTGATTAGCCGATTCCTAGATAATCAGCTGAGGGAAAGCTGAGAAGGGAATGTTTCCATGGCATATGCAATCCTCCACCACCTACTACTGTGGGTCCTGGATGTGAGGTAGAGAAGAGGTCCAAATTATCTGAACTAGACATTCCTACCTACCCAGTGACATCTTCAAGGAAGGAGCAGAAATTACCATAGACAAGATAGTCTTTAACTCCCCATTTCACTGAGCCAACATTTGCAAGCGTATGAGGGATTCATTGCGTATGGAAATCCCAGTAAGCCACCTCTTGGGTCAACTGTGCTATCTAAAAGCAAAAAGGTTCAGCACTGAAAAGGCAGAGACTTTACAAAAATGCCTCTTGCTCTCTGACCAAGTTTAGGGTCACAGATTTGCAGAAGTTATATGCTCTTCCTTTTCCAAGGATATATAATGACACATCTTGATGAAAAAAAAGGAGAAAAATGTTCAGTAAGTACAAACTTCAAAGTGTACATTGGTTAATATTCGGTATTGTGAATAAGCCATCTTTTTCCAGCAACAGTCTGGCATTTTGAGCAAACGTAAAGTGTACCTATGTTCCTATAAAGTATTCTATGGCACAATCTGGATGTTTCACTACAAAGTACAACCATAGTAGCTGAATGCCTTCAGTTGTACTGTCTTGTTTACTCAGTAAATTCAACTTTCTATTAAGAGATAATAAATTAAAAAGGAGTTAATCTGTTAAAGCTATGAAAGTACCACAAGTTCACGAATGTGGACTCTCTTTCTTACCCTGCAACTATATTTACTTTAGCTTTGGGCAGAGAAGTCCTCATAGGTATTGAAGATATATATTAATATCTAGGGGAAGCAGCGTGCTGGGCAATCACCTTCTATCTCATGGTCTTAAACTCAGGAAAATACATGTAAAAGACTTGTATAAAACATATTAATTCCTCTTTTGTATCCAATATATTGATGAGTGAAGGATTAAATTTGTATATCAATTCCATTTAAATACTTGGTATCCACGAATACCTAGCTTTGGAAATTATCCAAGGCAGTTAACAACAAAGAAACCAGGCGGTTCCCACTGGAAAAAAATAGAAGGAAAACCAGCTCACATCAGTCTGTCTCAGGTAAATGACACTTGGTGATCCTTTGAGTTGGAACGGGGGCGTAAGAGTTCTTCGAGCAGCTTTGACACTGACCCCATACTCTGAGGCCTCTTTGGTCAGAAAAACTTCCATAAACCTCAGCCTCGGTAACCCTTTGCATTAGGATGCAAACATTATAATATTTAGAGATTTAAAACACTTAGCTTTGACAGTAGCCATACCAGAATCTCGTGTATCTTGTTCATCTACATTAAAGTGAAGAACACACCTTAATTTCCTCTGTATGCCTATTTTTAACGTCTGAGAATCCATTTTAAACATCATTGTAATTTTAATTCTCTCAAGCCAAATCTCATTCAAACATTAAGAGAATATCTAGAAAGGGAAAATGATTAATTTAAAGCTAGACTTGTTTCCAGCACTATAAATTTCCCTCATATCCCTAGTAACATGGAGGAGGAATTGCACGTACTATTATTATACACGCTTTAATGTCATGACTGTTATTTTTAAAGCAATGGGAATCAGTGTATTTTCTCCCCGCCTTTTTTTTAGTACTGAGCAAGGACTGTAAATTTAGATCTGTAAGAATTACGTTAGTTTTGGTCTAGTGTAAACCATTAACTACACTGGGACTTACTCTGTGAGCTTTTTTTCCCCCATTGCTCTGGTCCATTTCCTGCTGTAGGGCTGCATTTTGACGCCATACTGCATCCCATTCCTGCAGGATCCTTGACTATGTCACAGTGCCCCACAAAACTGAAGGTCTAATGGCTCACCCATGGCAAGGTATTAAATGGCCTAAATGCAAGGGCCACTTGTAAGGAAGGAACAAGCCCGAATACATAGTGCTCAGGCTTTAGTAAATTATTAGTGTATTTAACCCAACTACTGAAGTAACTAGCCAGTTTACAACACTGATGTAATAAAACATTTCGCTAGTAGTATTACATCAGTATTTTACAGAAATCTGGACAACTAAGAGGAAAATATGGATAAACAAACACATTAAGCAATTTCAAAAGAAAGAAAAAATGACTCTTTCAACCCAGAATTTGCTTCTGAGTACATTTTTATTACTCTTTGCCAAAGCAGTAATAACTTATTGTCAGTGCTTTACATTATTTTTTCCATCCTACTGTGTAAACCATGTTTCTTCCTTAAAACGAAAGAGTTGTGAAGCAATCCTAACATGAAAACTGTGACCTAAGTTAATCCTTGCTCCTTAAAAAGAATGTTTTACATTTATATTGTGATAATGCTGAAGTTGGTACTGTGACATTAACATAAAAATGATATTTCAGAATTAGCAATGCTTATATTCTTGTTAAAATAAGAAACACTTCTTCCTTTTCTTTTACAGGATATTGAAAGTCCACTTGAACAAATGTGTGCAATGTAAACATAAAATAAAATAAAATGTAAAAAGCATTCTTCCAAATCTTCTGTAAAAGAAAATAAAGCATATGAAATTAATTGCAAAATTCTCATTCTTGCACCCTCCTAAATACACTTGACATATGTAAGCACAAACATGGAAGAATATATTTCCAAAGGGGAGAGAACACATGCTCAGATATTATCTGGGGAAAAAAAAAAAGCATTGAAATTCCTCTGTGATGAATAGACTTTTTTCTCCTCAGGGTGACCTCTACCTTCAGAATATGATGGTTTTATTATGATTAATAAATTTCATTTCCACAGAGGAAAGGAACAGTGTCAGCTTAAACTTAAAGCAAGTGGGTTTCTTTTTAAATGCTAATTTTTAAACACTCCCTTGCATGACACCAAATTTAGAAGCTCAGAAGGTTAGCAGAATAGATTCTGATTTCCATGCTGAAAATAGTAAGAAGGATTTAAACTATATTGTCATGCTGAAATTCAGTAAGCTAGTTCAGTCACATAGTCATTGGTTCATTTATTCACTACTGTGCCAGCATGCTTATTTCTCATTGAAATTAGTGGCATTTAAATGCTTTGTGATAATTTACACTGGAAATAATCATTCTAGGTAAACAATTTACTAAAATTTAGGACATGCAAACGGCAAAGTATTTTGAATAAATTAATAGTCAATGCGATTATGTGTGTATTTTACAGATTTTTAAATCAATGTATCAAACCCAATATGTGCACTCACAAATTCTTGTCTAAGAAAATATCTGATGAATAATTTTGATGCACCACTAATGAGAACAAGGTAAGTTCCACTATTTTCCAGTATATCTGGAACAAGTATTCAGGAAAAAAAAAAGTTTGCTAGCATTTTGTTACCATACTGGCACTGGTTCTTAAGTAGCTGGACTATTCTTAAGTAGCTGGACTAACACCTTACTGGGAAATAACTAAGAACAAAATCAGTGTAGCCACGCTAACATCTGTAAATGCAGCTGTAAACTATTTACCAAAAGCTCAGTGTATGGTATGTTCTTCTTTACTCACACTATGTCTCAATTTCTTCAATCATTTTCAGTACAGGGTTTAAAATTGCTAAAATACTACATAAAAGGACAATTTTTTGTCCACTGCACAAATAAAATGAGAATTAAAAAATGGTAATTGGTTGTGAGATTTATTTTAGTAGGGCCTTTGAAATTGAATCTCTCTCTTTAAATCATCGGTAGTAGGTATTGCTGAAGTCTCTAAAAACAGGGAAAGCATGTGCCTCTGCCATTGTAGGTTTTTAAGTTCTTTCGTACTATGGCTTTATTTCCATACACATCTAGGACAGACAGCAGAGCTCTGATAATGGAGACATTCGGAAGCTCCTTAATAATATATGTACTATGAGGTTTAATAACAACATTAATAAGGAGAAATTCACAGTATAGACTATGAAACAAGTTAACACGTTTTCCACAAGTGATTTGACAACTAAAGAAGGAGAATATTAAACATGATTTTATTTTTTAGAATTTTTTTAAAGTCTAGATATTGCTAGAAGAACTATAGAAAATGATGAATCTGTTTA